ACGCCCCCATACGCCTGCACGGCATCATGGTTAAGCACCAGAGACTACTTTAGCTTTAAACTTGAAAAATGACAGAACTGGTTCAGAATCCAGAGAAAACATCTGCACGTCAGAGTGTTCCAAAGTGCTCAGGAAATATTATGAATGTTCTGGACACGATCCAATGTAAACTTACAATTTCGAGAACATTCTTTCACTTCAGTACGTGTTAGCACCTGAATGAGGTCATTTTTACTCGTAATGAACACGACATTGCAAGATCTATTGATCATGCCAACTGGAATAACAAATACATAAGAATGCATTTGCCCTCGCTGATCGTCCACGAAACAAAAATACTTTTACGTAACTTCTTAAAAATCTAATGGAAACGTAACGAAGGAAGTCAACGATTCGATTATTACGAATAATAACCTATAATTACGACAAATCTTAGCCCTGAAGATGGAGGCGGTAAGTACCTCTGATAAATCAGTCAACTACTACGAGACTACGCGCTGCAGTATACACACAAAAAAAAAATGAAGAAAGAAAAGGCTACCATCTTTATGACGTGTATGACTCCTGACGTAATCCCACAGCTGGTCAAGGAATTAGCTGCATTTTAAGGTTCATTGCCAGAATGTAGGGCAAAACCATAACAATCATAGCAAAAAAGCAGTTCAATTACAGGTTTCCACTGGTAACGACACTTACGTGGTCCACTCTACTGAAATACGTAAGCTGCTTAAGACACGGCCCATTGTGTGGTGACGTCACAGCAGAAAATGTACACACAAATTAGGAGACGTATCTATTAGCTCAGAACACTTAAGGATAACCACGTAGCGAATCTTAATAAAGACAAACAACAATCGATACCTGTTGTGTAGACAGACTGCCAACCTAACTTGGCGACAAATAAACTCTTCAAAATTACGACAAAATTCGAATATTTAATAATGACGTCACCATATTAAAATTACACTCGCAAATAAATATAGATATCATATAAAACCACTGTGAGTAACACAAATCCCTAGTTCCACAGTCAAAATCACAAGGAACAAGAAAATGCCCAAAAAGTTTTGGAACATTTTATGTAATAAAGCAAAAAAGAAATCTGTGTTAACAAAATCCACTTCACTTTACCAATTTACATATTCTACAACAGACAACATTTGAATTTGTATGACAGATAACTAAGCGTTGCAATTCTGAGGTTTCTGACGAGACCATCCCGACACGAGGCACAAATACTTATAATTACAAAACCACCAGCAATTTCTTGTTCCATTAATACATAATCAAGTGTAAATAAACATGAAAATACTCACCACGATTCATCTTCCATATTTCTATGTGCACTGTCTTCAAAATATCACGTGGCGGTGGCTGCATTGCTGATTTCCAAATTGTTACCAGGCAAGTTTCAAACTGCATTGGATTATGATCTATGCTGCAATAATTTAATAATGTCTCCTGGTAACAATATTCAGATCCACTTAGTGATTAATCAGATCCAAGAGGATAAATAACTACATAATTAATGTGCATGGTGATATTCTGCATTATAATACCATGTGGATTTGTTTCAGAGGAAAACAATGCCTCTATTTCCAGGACTGAATATCAAATCTCATGATTAATATAGTAAATTTCTTAAAATGAAATTTTGCCCAGCTTTATTTATATGAATCAGTTTGTACTTAAGGGCTACCAATTCCCACAAGTAAGTACTTTCATGTGCCATGTGCCAGAACTTAAATACTTGTTTGGTATGCTTCATATTATAATAATTATTATTATAAAATTATTTAACTGTAATTATGTATAACTAAAATCAAAAAGAGAGATCTACAAATCTATTTAATGGAAGAGGACACATTTGGAATGGAATCCAATGTTTATGTCCTATGTACAACTGTAGTGAGGCTAGGATGTGCTTACTAGTGAAAAAAATGTTCATTTCCTGTTCTCATATTTTAAGTATTTATTGGCATGCTTAGCTCACATTTCGATAGCAAATGATATTCTTTCCCGTTAATAAAACAAATTTTGATCAACAATTTTTCGTACTAACCAAATCCTGGTGTTGGAGATACATTCAGCTTCCAACATACATCCTAAACAGTTGATTGCACTGCTGTTTCCAATACCCACAACCATATGATATCACGAGCAAATGTTCCACTAATAATGGCTAATGGAAAGCCTGTTTGAAATGCAGAAATCATATTTTGTTAGGCGTACAATATGTTGCTTGGTCAGTAAATAGTATTCAATCCTACATAATTGCAGTTCCTAACCACAGTTCCCAATATTCGCTCCTTGGACACAATATAATTTCGTGTACTTGCGCTCCATCTGTCCGTATCTTATAGAAACAAAACTGAGCAAAATAAAAAAATCGACGTTGGGTTATGTTGGCAACCTGCCTATAATAATCTTTAAACTCGTTATAATTAATTCCCAATGTAATATCACGACAACAAATCTGCTATTCGCTCATTTTACGATGATGCAACAACTTCTGAGGCTGTGTAACGTCAAAGTATATGTGGTTGGATTATGCCATTTGCCTCGATTTAACAGGCATGTTGCCAAAATAAACAAGTTACGTCGTTCTTGTCTGTATATTTATTTTTCGCATGCAAACAAGTTAGGTCGATCTTGTCTGTATATTTATTTTTCGCATGTGAAGAACCACAGATTACCCAATATTTCGAGAAAGAAAATAGTAAGTCTTGTAAACAATGTAAAGGGGGCCCAATTCAGCCGAATATTCTGATAGATACAATTGTTGGAAAGGAAATTTTTGCTGGATTTCCTTGACTGTCCCAGGTGAACAAACTCCATGTGACAAGTTAGCTTAAAATGACCTGCCATAACCTCACTGTATACATACTTTGTCCCCAGGTTACGCAGACGAGCAATTCTGACATACTTTCATGTCCGTAATGGAATTAAATACTAAGGACCAGCAGCAGGTAGATATGGCTGAAGTGGTAAGTTGCAATACTCGTGAAATCTGAATATGCTTGTAGTTTTGGAATGCAAGTATCACTAGTCCACAGCCTTTGTAAGATCACTGACATATTGAGAATGTACTAGTTTAAATTTAAACTGAAATTAATCTAAGACTGAATGCTGTCCTTCAATCTGTAATGTTTCTGATTCTATATTTTCACCTATCTCATAAGGAAAATCTTTTGCAGTTGAATCTACGAAAGATGATGAACTGTTTGGAGCAGCATAATGGTTTGCAACTTGCCGATGCTGTTCCTAGTTTAATGGAGGTGCTGAATATGAATTGTGCAGCCTTTAAGTCTCTGAACATTAACTCACTTGTTCAGATTGGATATTATGTTATGGAAGAGGGCAATGTTCATCACAAAGAGAATAATGAATATATATCAAGACTGGTTAGTGTATTACTGAATTCAGTAGTGAATGAAAACAAAGAAATGAGAGTAATGCGAGATAAGTTTCTCTTTGCTGTCTGGTGCAGAACAGGTGAGATTGTTTTTCACTTCATATGTCTGCATTATTTATATTAAACAAAAGGTTTCAGTACATTTTCATGTAAGGTAAGGTGATAATTCAGGTTCTCATAGCAGGTAAATATGAAAATGACTTGTGTTCTGGGATGTTTCACCATATAATCTGGAATTTGTGGCCTATATACAATACTGTTAATCCTTTGGTTTTGAAGCAAATTATATCTTATAAATCAACTTTTAATTTCCATAACTAATTTCTAACAAGTGCCAGCTTTAAAGAATACTGTAATGTTACTGTTGATAATTGAAATGTGTTTTAATTAAGATATAAAAAAAAGAAAAACTCTGTGTTAGCATGCACAGAATGTTAGGTTAAGTAGGGTAAATTTATTTTTCATCAAAAGGGGCCTGGCACTAAATGTCCCAAAATAACATTCAGCTCTTAGATTTTGCGACACAGTCGAGTAAGCTATCTCAGGCACTTGTGGAATAAAATTAATTTTTATCTTTACAGATACAATTTCATTGCCACTTCATCTACACGAAAGAATAACCTTAAAATGGAAGTTATATCTCCAACGAATTATCCTAGATCTGATCGTCACATGTCATGCTGTACGTTATAATCAATATCAGCAATATATGGCCGAGATCTTTGCATCTCCAGATACGATCTTCTTCCTCGACATTTGCCGTCGATCGCCATTGATATTTCAAGCTACTATTATGATATTTACTACCTTTTTGATATATAAGAAGGGCTGTTCTGTCATAAGATCCGTAATGAAAGAATTTATAAAATTAGTGATGTGCTATTCAAAAGAAGGATTATGCGACTTGTTTCCACCAAGATACAAATTGCTTGTGTCTTTCTTGCAGCAGAACCCAGATTTCAGTGAACATGACGTGGAACTCGGTGAAATAAAGAGTAGTTATGAGTCTGATAATCTTCAACAGTTCAAAGTGCTGGAGCTTTTGATTACAACGTTTAGGGAAGACAAATATAGTGGTGTGGTGCTAATAGGGTGCTTTCCAGTCTGGTTACCTTTTTTGGTTAAGTACTATTTCAAGAAATATAACACAAACTTTTTCACAGACTTTCACTTCTGAAAGTATTTTTTTTAAAATATATAGTAAAGATGTTTATGTTATATTATATTAAGCATAAATTTTTACATTTGTAGTGTGGTCTTATAGCTTATGATACCTTGCAACATTGTAGATGGTTACCAGAGAAACTTACTTCTTCCCTCTTCAGAGTGCACAGGGACATTTGTTTGTTCTCAGATGTTTTTATATTTCTTACTGCTTGTGATTCCTGAAATTCCACACTGTTTCAGAAAAGGTGAACATAAATGTAATTTCTATTTGGCAACACACCTGTAAAGAATGAACATCACTTTTGTAATGGCTATAATAAAAATGAAATATTTATCAATATACAAGCATATAAACAAGTGATAATAGTACTACAGATAGACCTCGATTTACGCCGGGGATAAGTTCCTGGAAGAACCGACGTAAATTGAAACTCTTTTTATAATGTAAATCAATGGTAAGTCAGTGACATGCGTTTCCAGAACCCAAACATTGACGAGTAATATAATGGCATTACATTAAAGCTCTGAAATGACGTAAATAAAATAAAGCGAATTTAAAAAATATATTTTATTACATTTGCACTAATACCTTAGTAGACTGTATACTATTGTCAAAACTATGTAATTTGTATTTGTATTAGAAACAAGTATTGTATTTATGCTATGGCACGTTCTACTCCAACTGCGATATTTGAGGTTCTCATGGCGATGATATCGTACGTAATCTTCTGGCAATTTTACTCAGTGTATTGGTTGGAATTATGTGTGGATCTGTGATGTTGATAGGAATACACATAAAAATTAAACATATCACCCACCTAACATTTACGCCAACATATCTTACGAACATAACCAACTCCAAATCACATATTACTCCATATGATAAGCGTGTAGTGTCTATACCCACCGTCAGATGGGGACATGATTTGATGGCATTTCTGTTGCTATGAAACGGCTCACATAAACAAATTTATAACCTATACATCATCGCACAATATTGGAAGACATTTCTCAGGGTCCTTGCGGCAAGTATGGCTATCGTCGCTTATAACTATGACTCACAAGATTAGTTCTTTATAAATAGTTGTAGCTTTGTAGATTACTTGTTTCACAAATTTCACGCACATACCATAACACCCTTGCCACGTAACGTAACCGAACAAAATTTGAACAATTGTTGACGGATATCATATTACTGCACCTAATTTACCTGTTATATGTTTTAAATTAAATGTATTTTTATGTTTCTTTGTCGTTTCATGTACTGACACGAAGTCAATTATTCTTTGGACACAAAATCTCGTAGAAAAGTCGAGGTTCTCACGGCTTGTGACGACAATCTGCTGCCTTCCCCGTTGGGACACGTCATTTATTGTTGAGGGTTTCCATGGTTTCGGGGGAACGTATCGCCTCCGTCTTCAGGGTTGAAAAGTATACAATTTCTCTTCGTTCTATGAGGAGCAAATTTTCATATGAGAATAATTGCATTGTAATCGCTTCTCTTCGTAGAGAAGAATATTTAATATTGTTACAAGAACGTTAACAAATGAAACTTACAGAATGTCGTTGCCTTGCATTACGTTGGGAAGGTACAACCAGTCACGAGAGTTAAATAAATGTCGCGACTGCAGGTTTTACTGAAGGCTTCGAGTAACTTTTCTGCTACTGACAGACGAGGAGACCGCGGGCGTATTTGCTGGACCTTGAGAAAGACTCATTATTATTCACACATATTAACGACACGTTGAAAATATGCTAACTAATGACATTTATAACACAGTAACAGGCCTCTTGTACAAACCAATTAGCACACACTCGTGTCAAAACTAACGAGAATGATGACAACGTTTGACAAAACGAATTGCAACTTACTGATTTAAAGGCTTCAGAAGTGGAGCCTTATACAAGAGCACCACAAGTCTTCGTTCAATAAGGCAAATTGTGTTCGTAACCCCTACGGAAATTTGGGGGAAAAAAATATTTCTCGCTTTATTAAAAGACGCTGTCAACAGCCCATACCATATAGCGATGAATTATATGATGATTCATGAATTGGAAAGGATATGGAAGGAAGTGGCGGTGGCATATTTTAAATTATTATCAAGACATTAGACTGCAGAGACTGAGGAATGCCACGTAAATCATCAGTCATGATTCGGAATTTTTGGTTCTCACGGAAGCGAGTATGAAGAAGACAGTCTTATGTGATATTGTGCCTGTCTCGAAGTTTACCAACATTTCGGAGGTGCTTATTGCCTCCATCTTCAGGACGACGACTCGGTCTCCAGGACAGGATTTTGAACCCGGAACCTTCCTAATACGAAGCAAGAAAACTAACCATCAGGTCGTGATGTTCGGCAACATCATAAACGCCAGCCTTGTCTTTTAACACCTGCGTGACTTGTGTAGTCTATTTATGCACAGATGCTGGCATTTTACAAATAAGTGTCACATCTCTCATGTTCTTACATCAGTTAAGACCAAAAACCACTATCCTCACAGACTTATTTTTATTTTAAATTAGTAGGGATGCTTAGGATCCATTTCTAAATGTCTTGGTATAATGTGTATTCCTCCAGGGCTTTATCTTGTTAAAGGATGTTCATAACAACAAATATTTTCTTGTTTTTTGCAGTTATATTTTTAGTGCTAAAATGGAACGGCCAAACAATGATTCTGAATGCAATTATGCACATAAAAACCTCCAAAGAACTTCTGATGACTACACACTTAAGGAAAATCAATTGCCAATGGAAACTCCAAATGACGTGCAATCGTCAGGAAATTTGACCCCCACTGACGATCTGTCACCATGTCTAAGTGAAGACAGATCACCGATGGTGACACCAAACACAACTCAAGATTGGACGAACGAAGGAAATCCAGAAAGCACCACTCATCAGGATAAAGCAAATAACGAGATACGCTCGATTACGAAACATAATTTACGAGACGTCACTCAAGATTTCACGTGCCTTCAAAATGCTGAGGATACTCTAAAACACCCTGAAACAATAACTGAAAGCAGCATCTCGCAAGAATCTGAGCGTAGCTCATTTACCGAGGATCAACCACAAGGTACAGTATGTAATTTTAAGAATTCAGGAATTTGTACATTTTTCAATTTTCAAACTACCAATTAATTAGAAAAAAAAATCCTTTTCAAATATATCGTCAATTCCACTTTGCAAAAATACAGAAGTCAACTCAAGAAACAGGGTAAAACTATACAATATAGGCCTACAGTACATTATCAGAAACTTTCTGCGAGATGCAGACCAAATTTTTTAAAAGCCAGAGTAATATTTTCCCTCTCACAACGATAGTATAAATTTAAGCTGCAGGATTCGTACGTATAAATTTAATTTAATTTTCAATATGTTTTTAGAAACAATGGAAGATGAACCCACACAATTACCCTTTGAGCTATTGACAGCAGCAGTTCCAGGAATTGAAGAAGAAAAAATAAAAACTTTGTTTGCAGAACTTCCTAATTCAGTCAGAAAATACGAGAATTCGGCACACGAAGGAACCACGAAAGCAGAAGTGACGGAGGAAAACATTCGAAGTTGGGTTGATGTATCAATGCTTAAGAAACATGGTGATTCTGACTGGGAAAGGCCGTCAAGATATCAAAGGAGTAAAACTGTGCACAGCGATGAACTGAAACCAGACGCAGAGGAAATTCAACCAAGGCATGATACTTCCACTAAAGAAAAGAATGTTATGCAACCAATCACAGTCAAGTTCCTTATAAACAAAATAAACACATTCACTTCTGCTTTTGAGGTACATACGTACATGAAAGAGGTGAAAGCGACATTATCGAGAACCTTTCAATGTCAACCATCTGATCTACAATTGTTCAGAAATGGAGCAGTACTTTCAGACAATCTCGAAATATCAGAGTTGGGAGTTGAGCCGTACGGGACAGTGGAAATTGAGATAAAATCAAAGGGGTTTTTAAAAACTGAGAATATGTACGATGTCCCAATTGTGCCGGATGTTATCACGGTCAGAGTCGAATCAGGTACGTGTATTTTCCGTCTTCACACACGTTAACACTTCACCTAAGCGTGCAAAATATTTTTCCCATATTGACGATCCTAAAATATGACAAAACATGGAAAATCTGTTACGTTCACAGACGCTTATAAAAGTGACCAACCTCTCCACTTTACATCTGTAGTCACATTTTTTGCCAGAAAAAAGATCTGAGAAACCAGCATATAAGACAGAAAATAAATTCAATGACAATGATAACACATTGATATTTGTAGGAATTTCCATTCGTCCATCCTGCATCACTATTACATCCACGTGCACATGTGCGCATACAAGCATACACGCTCACTCAGATGAATTAATTTCTGTTGTAGCAAATGAAGAAGTAAGAGACATTGTGGTTGAGATTGAAAGCAGATGCATAAGAAAGCCATTTGTTGGAGGTTACAGACATAAAACAAGCGGAGCAGAGTATCATCACGCTTTTACGCAAACACCACCATTACACCTCAAGGTATCAGCAGGAGGTAATTAACGATGAGTAATAAAATTTGAGAGAAATATTGCTTAATGAATTTATATATACAAAGTATCACCCCTTTAAGAATTAAACCATAATTTACTGTTCAGTACGACTTTTATGTCTGTCTGTTCTGTTATCAATTGGCGTAAGAGAGCATGTGGATGATACCGACACTGGAATACGTGTAAAAGTTAAATAATGTCCGCACTGAGATTCAATGGCACTTACAAAGAGACAAAAATCATTATTTACAAAAAAATCTTTCTGTCCTAGACTGTGATATGAAGGATAATACACTTAAAACAATTATGATAATGAGTCACAGAAATGTATGCATAGAGTAGGAATGATTTGTATGCTTTTAAAATGTTGTGTACGTTTTTAGAATAGCTATAGTATGAAGTAGCTCATAAACTTCTACAGATAAGAACAGGGACAATGAACACAAAACAAATTCATTATTAAATTAATCATTCATTTACACAAGGGCAGTTTCACAGGTTAATTAAAATATTAAATTATACAAATTATAGGTTCTATTCTTGTTTCGTTCTCAAATTGTTCTACAATATTAAGGCTGAAGTGGTTTCAATAAAAAATTATTTGTGTGTGTGTGTGTGATAAACAGGTTTTTATATTATATTTTCTTAAAATATTTTGCTCTAATTCAGAGTACTGTATAAACATTATCGATTTATGCAAAATTTAACATGCCCAAGACCGACCTACTGAATATTCATGTTGCTAAACATGATTTTGCAGAATTCAAGGTCACTGAAAATATTTAATTTGATGCAGGAAAAAGATCTTGCGATACCCAAACAGCAGAACGCAAAGAGCAGCAGCAAAATACCACGTGTGATGTGGCAACGCAGATGTACAAAGCTGATCACTATGTACCAAGCCGAGATGACAGAATACTTGAAGCAAACAGGTATATAGAAGCTGACGAGTTCGAAAGGCTTGGTGACTTGAATGCAAGGGTTAGTACAATCAAAATCATTTCTTTAGACTGACAGCTGTATGTTATATAATCTAATTGCACACATTCATGATTAATTTAATGGTGCAGGGGTAAAGGGGGGTTGTTAAGTCAGTTTATTCCTGCCTGCCCCACCCCCCCCTCCACATCCACTTCTTCCTCAGATATATAAACCTATTACTTGCATTTGAGCACACACCCTCCTTTACAGATTCAAACAATACGAACGTCCCTAGACAACAGGTTTAAAATGAATATAATCGCTTCTTATTAATATGCTCGCATGAAAAAATGATCCCTTAATATTCAGTTGTTTCGTAACACAATTCTGACACTCTCGCACATTTGAGATAATATCTACAGTTCACCACTGTTTCACTCTAAATTATATGTTTGCATATTATTACAGTTCATAGGTACAACATTTAAATTATCCATTATCTTCATAAGCAAAACAAAGAAATTATAAGATTTTAATTAATCCTGAAAATACTGCCAAACACAATAAACAACCTTCATAATTTTGTTGTTAATCAAATTTTCAGGCAGTTATCATTCAGCGTCACTGGATGGGGTATATGGCTCGGAAAAGGTTTGCAAAGATGAAGATGGAGCACGAGGAGTATCTTAAATGGGACAGAGAAGAAATCTTGAGATCTGAAAGAGAACTCGATGAACAACTAAGAAAAGAAACTGCACGTAAAATATTCCCAAGGACAAGGGCCGACTATGAAATGCTCTACGCTACGGTTGAAAACTGGCGCAAGGCTGAAGTTAAGCGTATATCAAACATAAAAATTGATGCTGAAAAGAAAGCAGAGTTTTGTTTGTTGCTCAAGAAGGAGATTGAATCTCTTAATACTATTGAGAGACACAGACTTGAACTCAAGAAAGAGAAACTGGCAAAGAAAGAATTAAGTATTATTGAGAAGGTAAACAACAGTAGTACGCACAAATATTTAATTTATTCTTATCAGTAATTGTATGACACAGTATGTAGCGCTTTACGTTAAAATTGTGTATCATTTATCATATACTTGCAGACGGATGAACGAGCTCCGTGGGGTAGAATCCTGTTTTAGAAACTGATTATATGCTAAGCTACTCAAGAAATTCCCTGTACCTTATGGAACCGTAAGGTTCATTATTATATACACAACAGTCCACCACCAGTCCCTACCCTAAGCCAGATGAATCCAATCCACATACATGTTTTGACTGTTATAATTTGCTAACAAAACACTTCAGTATTATCGTGTAAACTTTCAGATCCCATCTGATTTATATTCATGATATATTAACTTTAGTTCTGTAATTATTGTTTTATTTTGACAGTGTGCCACTCCTATCACATGGCTAGGGTCCAATGGGAAAGAAGTATCAATGGAAACTGTGCACATTCAACGAGCAAAAGAATTGAAGGAACTGTATTATATCATGTGTAAAGAGAACGTCACAGCTAAGGAGCGAATAGAACTCTTAATGAGTCTGAAATATGTGGTATGGACATCAAATTTAGTCAGTTAAATACTATGTAAATATGGTTTTTGTACGTCAACAAATAAGCACCTGAACGCATAACAACATTAGATTTTCCTCCCCTTATTATTTTTACAGTTTAGACGACTAGAGTTCGGAATATGAATCGAACATTAACGCAGTTGGCATGATAAAAATTTATATCTGATTCTGTTACAGTTGAAATCATACAATCCCAAGTTGACAAATGAGTTAATTTCATTATTTGAAAGGGAATGCAATTCTCTTATGCACGGCGTGAAAGCTAAGGATTTAGCCACCCTTCGACAAAGAACCCAGAAACTCTTCATTGAACTAATGAAAGATCCAGAATTTAATCCTGAAGCAGCCAAACATGTGGTAAGGTTATTATTATTAAGTGTTCTGTCTTACGACAGGTCCATTGCTCTGCCCAAAAAGAGCTCTCCAGTTGTCCCTATTCTCGGCTTCTCGCTTTAATTCCTGGAACGTCATCTTCTTTCCTTGTTTAAGATCGTCGGTTAGCTGTATCAATCTTCTTCCCAGTCCTCGCTTTCCTTCAACCTGGCCTTCGATGATATCACTCATTAATCCATTCCTTCTCATAATATGTCCCAGCCAGTTAGCTTTCCTTCGTGTAATCGCCTGCAGAATGTTTCTTTGCTCGTTGACTCTCCTCAATACTTCTTCGTTGGTCACTCGATCCGTCCACCTGATCTTCTCTATTCTTCTCCAACACCACATTTCAAAACTCTCCAGGTATTTCTGTTCCTTCTTCCTGAGTGTCCAAGTCTCTGCTCCATACGTAACACTTCACTAGTTTCTTCTTCATCTCCACAAGTGGTAAGGTAAAGAGAGAAAATAATATTGACTCCCTGCCCCACAGAAAAATTAATAGAACTGAAATAAATAAAGAATACAACACATCCCTAGAAAAATACAAGTTTCAGTATAGCAAGTATTGTACAGCTGTATAATTTAAGTTTTATTTTATTTTCTATTAACTTTTAGTGTACAAAACACAAAAATAATTGTATGCTGACAACTTAAGACCAGATAATACGCTTCTTCACAATGTATTTCAATGGCACGAAATATTTCATTCTACCGCGTATGACTATGTTATGTGTAGCAATGAATTAATTTGTGGAAATTTAAAGAGCTGAAAACAAAAAGCTTTTCTTGTAATATAAGTGGGAAGTTAGTATTTTGCGTTAATAAATACTGCTTGCTTAACTGTCAGAACTGTTGAAGCTATGACTAATTTTAATTTCTCGGGTTGGTACGAGCAGTATAAAAGCAAGAAGTTATAAAAATGTATGATCATGTTAAGTTATTTTTCACATAATCATAAATTAATGTTCAACTTTGTACAGGCATTTGACTGGAAAGGAAACGAGGGGAAAATGCACTTCTGCCGACAGTGTCAGAGATTTAAGGTGTTCAATGAATTTTCATTCTCTGCAAAGACACAAACGTTGGAAAAATGCATTTCCTGTGCCTGGACAGATGAGACAGCCAGGTCCAGAAATGACTTGGAATCTTATCGATTCATGATACGTGCTCTCCGTCGAGAAGAGAGGAGACTAAAATGTTTCTCGTCACTAGCCTTCATTATGCAGGTAAATTAACAGATTGCATGGAGCCACAACTTAGAAACTTTTAAAGAATGGGAAAGTCTACCAACATTACAGCTCATATTATCCTTCTTAAGTATTACAATGAAATTAAGGACACCTTCAGCAATAAATTTGGAAACATTTTCACGTGAGAGAAGTGAAATATATATTCAGTTTATATTCCTCATGTATTAATATAGATAAATTGTTAAAATGAACTAGTGTATTTTATAACTGTTCAGTCAGTAAAATACATTTTGAGCATTTATGAGTGATAAGAATATATATTTTGGGCATGTGAACTTATTTCACTACCTCCTAGATACTTAGCAGACTTCTTTCAAGGAATAATTATACAACACCCAGACATCCTTATGTCTCTACAAACATATAGCGGCATAACTAATTTTAATCTTCCACAGCAATTCATCACTGACGTTGAACTTTCTTTGGATGCTTACACCAAGTAGAAATTGACTTGCTTCTGGTGTTTCAGAGGATCACATTGTCTCTTTCATCAGGGCTGAACTGAGGAGGGTCAGGAAGTATCTGGTTTATACCAAGATCTGGTTATGGGAATCGGCAATCAGGGCAAGGGATGCTGACGCAACTGCATTTCTACTCCTTCCTTATCCTTGGATCTGACTGACAAATTCCCACGACCTGTTCCCAACATAAACCAGCTACATCCTGTCTTCTGCGTTGTAGCACCATGTAGTCTGGTAGTAGTTTACCACTTCAGAAGCCCTTGCAACCTACATCATCGGGGCACCAGACTACATGGTGCTACAACGCAGAAGACGGCCATCTTCATATTCACTAGTGTTAAAACCTCAAATCCTCCTCAGTTCCTTCCAAACATCCTTCACTTCACTTCATATTAGAAACTATGTACAGCTTATTTACTAATGCAATGTGACCTTTAACGACAAAAACTGTCACGTTTCTTCTAACAAATGCAAATATACTGTTTGAACAAAATGTTTTTTTTTTATTTAGGACAAGGACTTCTACAACTTAATAGTAAATATGTGGCAATGTCACTCTCCACTGAGTGAGGAAGCAGACCCATATAAGCTCTGCCTAGGTCGATGGGATGTGACAAAAGACTGGACGCCATGGAACTGTGTTATCCTTACCAATGATGAGATGAGGGCACATGTTAATGTAAAAAACATTAAGGAGGTGAGGAGGTACTCTCTCCTGGTTGTACTTTCTTTCTTTTTAACATAATACGACACTGTAATTGCAACAGAGAGTGGATTTCATTACTCATATGTATTTGACAGTTTGGCTTCATTAACGTGCTCACAGCAGTCTGCCACTGTTCCCTATCCTGAGCCAGATTAATCCAATTCACATCATATTTAAGATTCACTTTATCATCATTTCATCTAAGTCTGTGTCCTCCAAGTGGTTTCTTCCCTTCTTGTCTTCTGACCAAAATTTTGTATACAATTTTCATCTTTCTTGAGTGCACTACATGCTCCAACCATCCCATCCCTGTGATATGGTCACCCTAATATTTTTAAACCTCCTCATGTAATTTTCACCAGCCTCCCACCACTTCCCCCTCTTAGATCTAAATATTCTCCCCAGCACCCTCACTGATGTTATAAAAGTAAAAGCAAAACAGTCCCGCTACACGCCTTATAGGCGCTTGGGGGAGATGAGTTATAGCTCCTACTCATTCTTGACTTCGGCACTAGATGGGGGTGAATGGTCAGTATCACGCCCTGGCCGCACTTTACTCCCGGGAAAGGACCCCGGTACCCACTGGATAAGAGGCTGGGTGGGACCCAGAGCCGGTCTGGACGCAGAGGCTAGAGGAAAACCCTCCGCCCCCATTGGGGATCGAACCCCAGTCATCCAGCCTATAGCCAGTCACTATACTGACTGCTGCAGTTCTTGACACAATTAAATATTTTTGTGTTTCTCTGTGTTCCAGACATATGCACAAAACTTCATAGCTGATGTAGGACTCAAGCACAGGATGGCCGAAAGGAAATTTTCTCATCTGTTTAAGTATGACAAACAGTACGCTGCAAGTGGAAAATGGTTTGCTGTGACAGACGCCAAGGGGTATAAATCACAACCTCAATAGTTCTGGCGACAACAGACTGAAAGAACTAAAGATTGTCTCCACTTCTGTCTCTCATGCTTTCTGCTAGAGCAATTGTAAAATAACAAGCATTTTTTTTAGCACAAACTATTTTTAAAAATAACTACAGTTCTAAAATGCCTAGTACAATGCCATGTCTCTCATGATTTATGTTAAATTGTAGAAAATAATGGAAAAGGAGAAAAATAGTTTTCTAGTGCCACTTCAGAACTTTACGTGCCACAGAATGTCAAAAAGTTTAATCATCTAAATTCTGTAGGATTTGAGGTTCTCGCCGTGGTGAATACAAAGACGGCCATCTTCTGGGTAGTCTGGCACTACAACCCAGAGGCCAGCCACATTTATGTATATTATGAATCAGACAGAAGAAGAATAAGAAGAAGAAACATCTGTTACAGAAAAACAAAGAAAGTTAGTCAACAATAATCAGTACAAAGTGCCTAAAAACAAACAATTCTATCCTCCAACGCACATGTTAGAGGAAGACAAAAAGGTACAAAATTAATACGCTTCGTTCATTAAAAACAGTTACAGAGTACTTGAAACATGTCCACAAGAATGTTATTTAGACATTAGGTCAGAACTGGGTAAAACAATACCCTCACGATGAACCTGCAATAAATTTAACGCATAAAAACCTATTTCAACAGATATTTCATTCTCTGAAGTAACTGAGATCTGATTCACTACATATATTTCCAACACACGTCAAACATTTTCTCTCTTTCTGCATTAGTTAACATGACAACGGAAAGTCTATACTGTATTTCGTATGTAACCACTGTCACCTCTTTCTGGATTAGTTAACATGACAACGGAAAGTCTGTACTGTATTTCGTATGTAACCACTGTCATTTCGGGCAATAAGATCATAAAAAAAACATAAAGTGAAGGTAAAACGTCTCAGCAGTCTCAAATATTTATTTGAGAAAAACTAAACAGCACACACATATGAAACTCACGCTACGGGAAGCAGAAATAAAAAAATATATTGTAGCATGAGAAGTAACATAACTCCAACTATGTCAATTCAACCTGAGAAAGAATTTGGTTCTTCAATTCCACAGATTCCATGACCATAACCATCAAGGTACATTCCATAAAAATCATCCATGTCCCCCCCCCACTGGTACCTGGCCAGAATAAAATTCTCTTTTCGAAGATCAGGCAACGTCTGGAAATCAGTTATACCATTCTTGAACTGTAACCTCTCAGATAATTTGTATTTATCATGTACATTCAGAAGTCTGTATCTTTTATACTATCATACAATTCAGGTTTTCGGTCAAAATTAAGCGTTCAACTCGTAATTTGAAGAATTCTGACACTGGAACTAACAGGACTATTATTAATTTCATCAGTCTGTCCAAGAAAATTCAAAAGCACAGTTGAACAAAACCACAAGAATATCCTTCCTCAGTTAATCTTACATGTACAATATTTAATTTCTGATTTTCTCTGCCTATAGCGCAGTAGATAGGCAAAAATAATATTAAATGATGTAACACTACACAGCATCTGTAGTTGAAACAGAATCATTAAATAACCGATCAATTAATAATAAAGAATTGAATTATCACTGTACTTCCATTAATTATTTCTGAAGTTATAAAATATGTAAGTAATTTATAATAATACTTTAATACAACTGGTAAAAATAATCCTTTATAACATCAAACATATTACAGTTTACTTTGGTGTAATCAGATGAATCACAAATTAGGTTAGGTTAGGTCAGTGCACATCCAACAATTTGGATTTCTATAATTGCAGTACAGAATATAATGAACCATACCTCGAACATCCTATCAAATCTCTCGGAAATGTTTCTTACCACGTGTTATATCGAACCGCGCACTCACTCTTTTTCATGAATCTGTAAATGTTCTCTAAGATCACATTTTCGTTTAAAACACTTACCACAGACACTGCATTCATGAGGCAGAACTCCAGTGTGTAAGAGATGAAAATGTTTTTTGAGACCTCCTGGTTCTGTAAAGGACCTACCACATTCACTACATACATGAGGACGCTCTCCCGTGTGTATCATAACGTGTTTCTTCAAATTGCACAACTGTGTAAAGGATTTCCCACAAAACTTACAGATGTGTGGTCGTTCCCCCGTGTGCGTTAAAATATGAGTTTTTAGATTACAAAGTAACGTGAAAGATCTGTTACACACATCGCACACGTGTGGTCGTTCTCCTGTGTGGCTGAGGGAATGACGTTTTAATTTTCCTTTTTCTGCAAATGACTTATTACATACTTTACACATGTAAGGGCGTTCCCCTGTGTGCACTAAGAAATGTCGCTGAAGTTTACTGAGTTTTGAGTATGTTTTTTTGCACACTGCACACTCATGACTTCGTACTTCCTCCTTCCTCTTCACTCTTTGTTCTTTTACCGTAACACTACCAACCACTTCCTCCTTTAATGGTGTAACGTAACCATTATCATAACCCCCTATGTCTTCAGTCACATCTTCCTGCTCCGTCTTATGTTCTTCATCATCAATTTTTTCTCTATATTCATGATTCTCTTCTTTGATAATTTCCTTCCCATATTCTTCTTTTATTTCTACAAAATTTAAATTCCATGGATATTCCACATGCTCTTGTGAGATGTCTTCTTCGTCATCTTTTGATTCTTGTTTTATTAATCCAATATCCATTATGTAAGATAATGTTCTATTTCCTGATAATAAAGTATTCATTCAAAGCTTACCTATGATATGCAACATCAGTTCCAAACAAAACCTCTCATTTTTTTCTTCCAACTACATTGTTCCCATAATTCTTCTCTTTTCTGAATTAACCTGTTCAAAAACAAGCATCACATTAAACTTCATCATCTTTACAAGTACTGCAATTATAAATATGTGACTAACAAACATGTGAGGAAAGAATGTTCCTAAATATGTACTTTATGGCCATTTTAATTTTATATCACACACCAAATACAAAGACATACTAGAATAAAAAATAAATAAAAATTTGATGGACCATAACCAAAGTTGGGGAAGGGAAACAATGGAAAGATAAAATGATGGCAGTTACTTAATCAACAATTTAATGAATGTCTCTCACATCAGCAGAAATAACAGCTTCTGAATGGAATTCCCTTAGGAATTATCACATATATTTTCCCAGTTTTCTAAATATTAATATGTACTAAATCTTGTTATTTCTACTACACAATACAAGGATTTATGGTGTGTGTGTGTGAATTAGTTCAGTTCCTTGACTGTAAAGATTATCAACAGTGAATTTTTCAGACATAACTAACTCCCAATAGCAGTCTCATGCACAAAGACCAGAGCTCAGAAATCTGACAGCATGCTTGTGACTAACCAGCATATTATGAATGACAGAGTGTCAGTCGCTAAATACAGTCGACTATGGTCGATAGGGAACATTCGTTCTCCATTTTTAGACAACCTGGGATTGTCTATTGTAATCACTTGCCTCAACACAATAATATACTCATAAAAAAGTGGGCGGAGTATTTGTTTTTCATTGCTACTACCACCATCACACATGCTGCAGGGATTTGCTTCAGTTAAGTACCGAAAATATCGGAAATAACACTGCAATACACAAAACTATAAAATCAACGTGATTATACTCACCATCTTTGCGGGGAACACTTCTATCCTTGTTGAAAGCAATTCAAATGATCTTTCCTTTCTTCTTCAGTTTTCAATTTACGTTACATGTACAATACCTTGAATTTAGGTTAGGTGTTTTTGTTGGGAAGAAGAAAGAATCTTACGTCTCGCAAATGTTCTTTTAATTCACTTTCACAGTTGCATTTAAAATGACGACTACATTTACATTTCCCAATATGTAATACGCCATTTACAACATAAAATAGATCAAGCCTCATGGTGAGTAGGTCACATCCAATCACATTATAAATCTAACCATAGTGCAGACCACAGACGACGAAGATTAACATATTTAGATTGAAACCGTTATACTATGACATGAAAACTATATTTCAACATATTCAATATAGATATGACCCCGACAAATTTTCAAACGTAGGCTAAAAGGGTGACGATCACAAAACAAAAACAGAATACCTCGTTAAAGACTAAATTACAAATATAGGTTTTCAAGAATTCAGTAGACGATTTTTAACAGCTAAGAGGAACTGGCAAAACTGTAATCATGCAGCAACCAGAGGAGACAAACTAAGTGATGGACTCAGAGCTCTGTAATTCCCAATTTATACAAGTTTAACAGCAACGAAAGTTAACCACTTCTTTGTTGTTCATAAAATGCTATTGTAATACCAGTACTTGCTAAATATTTACACAACTATCTCATGCCTTTTGCTTAACCGAAAAACACCTTACAAGCCCGTTCATTTCCACAGGCTATAGTAGTTTCCTGGTGAACGAATAAACGGGTTTTCATTAAATTCTGTGACGTTATGCCTCAAGGGCCTAGTACATAACACAAATTTCTAATATCCTAAAACTACTAACACTAACGTGACAAAATCTCAGTAATTAAGTGGGATGTGATACTATTTACGTCTGCATGAATGTCATTAGCCAAACCTCACATAACCTAACTTTTCCTATTCTAACAAGACGGCCGTATTTTTGGTTGTTGCGCTAGTCTGGCAGAAATTTACCGTCTCAGAAGTACTTGCTGCCCTGCGCAGCTCTAACATTACCTAACCTAACTTAATCTAACCTCTAGTCTTTGGGGGAAAAAGTATGAAATGGCTGTACGGAAACTTATGAAACTTTTGAGTGTATATTACGGAGTAAGGCACTACTGAAGAATAATAATTTCTCCAGCATCTCCGGCCTGAGTGTACTCTAACATAACGTAATCAGACCTCTTTAAAACTAATCTCCGTCTTCGCATTTGTTAGCAAGAGAATGGTTTGAAGAATGTTTATGAATTTTTGACACAGATGAATACTCATTCGTTCTTGCTTCTTGCACTCTTACGTAATAAAAGTCTGCATCAAAAGCACACTAAAGCAACCAAGTACATAAATTGTAGGTGCATGGTGATGGTTCATGCTGAATTGGCTGTTGATAAAACCGAGGATTCCGACATGGCATGTCAGATAAAATAGAAAGTTGGATAACCAGGACTATACTGTGTCTGGAACTGTATACTGGATTATTAGGTTACACATAATATATAATAGCCTAAATATACCTGAACCTGATAATATATTATCAGCATTTTAGTATTAATGACACAAACACAGATTGTCCCGTTACTGTGTTGGAGAGGTTATATTTGATGTGGTATTAACTTCAATTCATACTAAAATAATTTTATTCTTCATTCATAACACAAAGTTTAAATTCTCAAAAGGTGACATCATATTTTCATACAAAAGTATAAACATATTGGACATACAATATTCTACAGACAGGAGTAAATATATCAGAAGTGATAAAAGATATGTATCTGGCATCTCCACTTCATCCAAAAGGAACTGAACATCCAAATAAAGGTGTATTATTACACAATAAAGCTGAAATAATTTTTGACATGGATATTTGTTCACAATGTCAGCTAGCTTAGTTACAAGTGATACAGTCAGAATTTAAAATGATTCAAATTCACTCAAAGACTGGTAAATTGTCTTATTACTAAACATGTAGTAATGAATCTTGCAAATGAGTAAATGTTTTATGTTAGTAAAGAGATGTACTATAAAATGTACTAATTATATTTTGAATTTTGTTTCCATTTCTGAAGTTCTTGGAAAATTGTCAAATATTAGATTTAGAAACAGGTTTTTACTTCATAATTGTTATTGCAATAAATAACTCTACAGAATGAATTTACATTTGGACGTATATTACAGTCACCTTCTGATATGCAATGAACATGATTTGTCAAAAATGTGGCACACGAACATAACGCTAACTTTCAGTGTCTCACCCTAATACCATTCTTCTAGCAGCCTTCTTCATATTCTTCTATATAAGTATCTGTATTAATTTAAGCCCAACTTAATGGTACCTGCACCTTGCCGTGGTGGTGGGGCTTGAGTCCCTCAGTGACCCCAAGAGCTATTGGTAGGGCCTCCCTAGCCAGATTGCTCGAGGAGGAGAGGTCAGAATAAGACAGGTACCCTGGTCTTCCAGGTTGGGGGCTGGTCGCAAGGCTAACAACCTTGCACCGTAAAAAGTAAGATGTTTCGAAACCTCGATCAAAGCCTCGGACAGACGGACCTAACAGAGGACCGAATGGAAGAGGAGAATTGAGGAGGCCATGGACCGAATACGGACCGGAGAGCCATAGAAGAAGAAGTATTAATTATTCATCACGTACTAAACACACCTATTTTCTAAAGTTACTTCTCATGTCTTCGGACTGTCCTCACATATCAGTCATATCATTATAACTACCGAGTAGGTTCTTATTGTCACGAATATGGAGAACACATATCACACAATTTTGGCATTCTGCGGAGATAAATTATGTACACAATTTCTCACAAAATACTTGGCACACTGAAGATGGAGGGGGGGATCTTAACATAAGAACCTGCGAGTCCTACAGACATAACACTGAGATGACTTAATTTCACGAAAAATGTGGATAGACATAGTTTCTAAACACTACTTTATCCTGCTATCTAACTGTGGATTTTTGTTTTTGAGGTCCCAAGTAAATTGGGGTAATGTTGGATGGCTTGTACCTCCTGAAATAAATAATTTCTGAATCAAAAGTAAGCAAGACATAACATAGGGTAAGGAATCATTGTAAGATTTGAGGTTTTCACAGCGGTGAGTATGAAGATTTCTGTCTTCTGGGTTGTTGCGCTGTGTAGTCTGGTCGATGTTAACCAACGTTTCAGAGGTCATACTGCCTCCGTCATCAGGGCGATGAAGATTTCTGTCTTCGGGGCTGTTGGGCTGCGTAGTCTGGTCAATGTTTACCAACGTTTCAGAGGTCATACTGCCTCCGTCATCAGGGCGATGAATATTCATCGACCAGACTACACGGCGCAACAACCCAGAAGACAGAAATCTTCAAGGAATCATTCGTTGCAGTAATAAGCACTAAGTTTTCAACTTACTCCACAATACATTTTTTGCCCCACAAGTGCGTATGTTCTCATAGCTACAATATTGCCATATCTGGATCCAGAGTCCACCTGTCATATTTAGGGGAGAATACAGACACAAGGTATTTAAGAACGTGGTACTGAGAAGAGGTAGAACATGGAAAGTATAAAGGAAATGGCATTAGGACAGAGAAGAAAACTGTTGAATAGCTTCTCTATTTGTAGTAATAGCTTTTCTTACCGTAAACCAGGTTGTAAAATTTGCAGTATCTACTTACGCATACTCCGAGTTCGGAACTCCGATGACGAGCATTTCGCTTCCCTTCATGTGAAGTCTCCACATGCTTTTGTGATAACCCCGAACGTCAAGATCCCAAATCCTGAAGCACTGAAACGCGGTGGAAAATCATGATAGTAGTTTGCTTAGTAAATGGGGAGAAAAAAAAATGGAGTATCTAGCGATGCGAATCCTATACAGTGAATCTGTATTAGATGTACAGTCCACAAAGTAGGCTAAGAATCTTAAAATGATTTATGACACTTGTACGAAGGTGGTTCAACGGAAACTGATCTGGAGCATGGCGTTCACGGGTAGTGTCATGCAATACCAAAATTCCATCAAAAGTGTAGGAAACGGCATCAATCAGTTGCGTGATAAGTGTCGGGGTTATTTATTTAAGGAGTGATATGTGAGATACCAAAAAAACAATTCCAAACACAATACACATCTGTCTGAGAAAGATCAATGAACTGTGATTCAGTTTTTGGGCACAGAGGTCGGCAATTTGAAGAATTTATCAGCATATGGAGGCTGTGTGCCGCAATGCTTGCGTGTCAGGCAGTTTCATCTCATGTAAAAAAAACACCATAAACACCAAGGTTCAGCGCATGTGAAGCGTCTTGTGTACAGAATGTACCTCTCCTCCTGACTTCAAAATCTTTGCGTCATTAAAGTAGGCACAAGGGATGACGATTCTAAGTTGACGCTAAAGTGCAACAAGGTGTTCAAGAACTTTTCTAGCCGCAGCATAAAGAATTCTTTGAAAAAGACATCCAGTGCTTGGCGATTCAGTCGGACGCATAGTGGGATGCGCGCCTGAATGTGGTGGGAGGTGGAGGTTTATATTGAACCACCCTTATATTTACTGTCGTTACTATCTAACTTACATTTATTTTTAAAAATATCAAACTATTACCTTGGCTACTTGGAGCCATGTCACAAAATCCTTCGGTTCTTCCATTTTTATGAACATAATTATGATTTCACCCTGAAAAGAAAAAAGAATGAATACACGTATGTAATTTACGTCTCAAATGTCTAATTGAAACAAAAGAATTTTATGTTGCAATGAAGAATAAATGCATTCCTTTGAAAATCAGTGAAATTTACCAAAGTTCTCTGAAATTTTATTTTTAAATTAAGGTTTAAGTCAAAAAAAGGTTAAAATGACTTTACATATTATATGCAGAGTTGATGCAATTAACATTGCCTGAGACGATGAACCTCACTTTATTGTCTGGTATGAAGTTCTCTTCACACGGTGATTTGCTGTGGTCCAAAATCAATCCTCTCTTGATCATGCCCACAATTAACTCCTCGTAGTTACTCTTCTTCAAGCTGAAAGTAAATACATCACAAGTATTTTATTTACGGTACAAGCAGTTGATCTAATGTCTGCACAAAAGTATACAAAATGGACAGTGATACAAAGTGAGTTGATACTAAAGCTTGGAAAAAATTTCTCTGACAATAAAATATCAGCTCATATTTCACTTTTATGTGATGCAAAAGTAAAATATGGCTCTTATTCCTAGTTATGTGACATGTAATACATCTTATCATCTCCTTACCTGTCCACGTTTTTGAGCTTTGCATGCGGCAACGTGTTGAAAGAATGTTTCTTGAAATAGACGTCTTGGAAGTATGAATTCATGTTCAGACCCGAAGCACCAAAATGGTATGTTCGAGACACGTCGGGAATCACGCATTCTCTGCCTCTCCGAACTTCGGGTAACCGCATCCACATGTCCCAGTCCCACATCTGGGAATGCATCGTAAAACAGATTTCTGATACCGAGATCAAAAATATTACGTCTGACACATATTGTGAAAATTATCTTTTGACCTTACCCAAGCAGTGAAAGTAGTCCCAGGAGAAATTTACTAGATTTACTGTTTACCTTAAGTTTCATGTATTTTTCATTATGAAACAGTTTATAAATCAACTCAGCTTCAAATTTTGGAACCCCAGTCTTTGACTGAAAGTGTTTTACCTAATTAAAATAAAAAACAAAACATACAACAAAATTTTCCGTCATCCATCAAAGTTTACACCATTTCTCTTCCCGAGATATTTTATTAATATTTATTAAATGTACAACACCAAAATATAAAAATGCGTCTTTCATTAAAATGTGACGCCAACCTTCTCAGGCGACGGCCATTTGGATTCGAGCTCATCTTTATACAGAGATCTTTTAAGGATCCAGCCCAGGCCCGGCATCGTCTCCACCCGGTATAATAAACTTGGATCGTCGCTCGTGTGCTCGTAACCCTGGTCGTTCCAAGCAGAGATGCAGTAGAGCGTCTCGTCCTCCTCCAGCAATCGCCGTGTCTGACTGAAATAACTGCAGTACACAAACATTAATCTGCTCCTTCCATTTAATAAACAAACTCCATGCAGCGAAGTCATTATTATTGTTATTATTCTCCCATCTAGAGCTAGGTCTTGCAAGTGACGTCTTCCCTTCAGGTTTTTGATCAGAGATTTATATAATAAATACGAAATATTCTGGTAGAAGACCACTGACATTTCAGAGATGCTTTCTGCCTCCTTCATCACCGCCCTGATGATTTTTATACAGAGTCAGCTTCCACAAGAATTGTTACTGCGCTCACCTAAAAAAGTCTGGGGATACGTCCAAATCCTCTTCCACGATAATCGCGTATTTGGCATTTGGAAATATATTGAACGTAGCAGTGAGAGATGCTTTGTAGTGCTGCGATATTCGGGCGTTCTTAACCCCGATAGGCGTGTGCTGAATTCCTCGAAGTCCGAAGAGTTTTGTAACCTCAAGAGGTTCCTCAAAGTAACCATCAATAAACACTGTTATCATCTCTGGATTCGCTCCGTGCGCCGATAAAAGAGACCTCAGCATCCTGGAGAAAGAAGTATATATTGAAAAGGACGTCATAAATCTCCTTCAATATTTATGAAAAAGATCCTCAGAGTAATTTTTGTAGAAAGTGTTCAAATATTTGAACAAGGGAGTGAAGATGGCTGTAACCTGGGACATAACACTGTGAAGTCTGGTAGATGTTGATCAACGTTTCAGAGGAGTTTATTTCCTCCATCATTAGACCCTGACAACACGTCTGAAGACAGTCATATCATATTCGTTGCTGTGAGAACCTCAAACAGACCCTGATAACACGTCTGTGAGAACCTCAAATCTCACGTAGAACACGAAATGGTCCTATTAAATTTCCTGGTAAAAAACAGCTGAATGTTACATTCAAGGAACGTACAGTCCAACGCGTAACGTAAATTGATTTTACCTGTATAAATAGTGGGGCCTGTTGCTTGCGATTATTGCTACTGGTACATCACGGACTTCATTATTCACAACCTATGACAAAATTAATAAAAATTATTTATTAAATCTTTAACAGCAAGGAATTGCATAATAGCGAAATACTGCGAAGGTCAATACTTTTCACAATAATTATCAATTATTAATTTAAGAAGATAAAGTCATTCCTCCATTACCATCCTTTCAATATTCATGGTACAGCTTCCATAATCACAAATTTAATTTGAAATCTTTCCCATGGGACATTTTTATGAGCTTCGCAGAGCTTTTCAACATCTAACTCACTCACCCTTGTCGTAGTTAGACTCATTCAACACTGCGCCGGCATTTCTAAAATTTTTTTTTTTTTTTGCATATTTTACATAATTTCCAGATAAAATATAAGCGATGTTTGTACCGTGCCAAGAGAAAAAATAATATTAATTAAAATAACATATTTATCAGAGCATCTGAACATCCAAGGAACAAATTCCTCTCAAATTTGCAGGAATAACTGTTAACTATTATTCTGATTGGACTTACAGGTTCAGGGTTAAAGAACAACGGGGCTGGATCTGTACAGCTGCAGACGCTGCCATAGCCCTCGATATGATTGCAGAATTCTCTCCTTCGTCGGTTTTCTTCCGTATCCACCCAATCACATTCACTCGCTTCAACACAAACATTTATGTTTTTACAAATTAAAAATCACAGCGTTACTGAGAATTATGTGCACTGTATTAAAAATTACTGTACCTTCAACAGGAACTAGTGGCACTTCTGTCCGAAGAACTGCCGGGGCCCCCCAGGTGTTGAAATCGGTACTCTTGCTGTACGACTCCCCAAACATCCTGGCACCTTTCTGTGTTACCATGGCCCACATATCTCTCCAACCAATGACCTGCGCTCGCTTTGAGCCGAGCCTCTTCAGAAGATCTCTCGCAGGCTGCTTCATCTGGAAAGTTCCTTCGTCCTGAAAATCGACCAGAGGAATTCAGACAAAGTAGTGTCTAGACACAAAGTTAAGTCACTTTCTAGTCTGTTATGGCTTACCTTTATGGTGAATATGATGACTCTGCCGTCAGACACCATGTTGAGGAAGAGGGCCATGGCCTCGTCCTCGTGCGGCGAGTATGTGTCGAAGGCGCGCTGGGCCATGACGCTGCCACTCGCCTGGTTCAGGACCATCACGTGTATCCCTCGTCCCTTGTGTTCCTCTCCGTCCTCCAGGATCTAGCAAGCTACACTAACATTAAATTTCTCTCGTCTCAATTAGCTATTTTGATAGCAAAGACTTTAATTACACAAAAATTACTCAGCAAATTCTTTGGACTCTTATTACTCGATACAACCAAATATGAGTTGAAGATTTTTATATCTGCACAAAGAAATCTGAAAGATGTAGAGAAACATTAAGTTCACTTTCTTTTAAGAAACATTTTATTCTATTGGTCTACAATTAAAAATTATCTTAATAAATTAATTCTATGACATATTACTTCCATTTACGAAATGTAAAGGTTCATTACCATCTTAACAAGAGCTCACCAATAGTACCAATCCTGAACCATTTTAATATTATTCTTACATCTGTGTCTAGGTCTTTCACACAGTCTCTTTCCTTCATGCATTTTGTATACTTCCTATGCATGTTACATGCACCACCTATCTCATGCTTCATCATTTCGTAATCTAACAACACACAACGACAAATATAAATTACGAACAGATTATCAAACACTTTCAAATAAGTGTAGCACTGCCCTTTAAGCGACTTACCGTTGTTCCATCTATTGAAACTGACACTTTCGATTGGCTGGACAAAACTTCGATGGCGAGCGACTTGGGCTGACTTTCCTGAAGTCTCAAACTGTTCCTTCTGTTCCCCCCCTCAACAAGCTCTCCTCCACCCACTGCAAACATCAAGTTCCGATGCGTTACTTTCGATTTTATTTCCAGATTCCAAAAACGAAAGGCCACATGCGAACTTTACGCACAGAATACGTCTTCCATGTTCGTTTCTTCAAGATATACAAAATAAAGTGCGCATGTCAGTCACTAATACCACTACAAAAGCAAATTAGATACGATACACCATCACGTATACCGAACTATAATTAGTGCATGTTCATACAGTCTTTGTTAGTATGCTGGCACGGAGTTTCTTGATTAGCAGTTTACTCACTTTCAGAGATACTTGCTACGTTCATTACCCTGAAGACAGAGGAAGAAAATACCTCTGAAACGTTGGTAACCTCCTACCAGACTACACAACATTACAACCTAAAAGACCGCAACTGACACAAATGATTCCAATTACTGACTATGCGCAGATGGCGTTATTCTGGTTTCCAGCATGCTACCGTTACGTTCGTGAGTTCAAAGTCATCGTGTCTTTCTTCTTACCATATCAAACACTTCAGTTATTCAAAAATATGCTTTAAGCGTCCTTTTATGTTACTCACTGCTAGGGATATTTGTGTCTGGTAAGTTTTATGTACCTGTTGTAGGGGTCACTTCATGAAGACGTCTGCTTGTATCCAAGATGAACATCACATTGATGCCAATTGTAATGAGTAACACCACAACAAGTAATCCCTGCCGTAAACAAACAATCAATTACTGTCAATGTTACGAAATTCTGGTGGGAGACTTGAGATATTTGCATTTTGAACTCCATAATTTTAGACAAACGAGTACAAACGTTCTGTAGACCTAACTGTAAAACATGACGGGAAGATATTGCTCATTGCAGACGTAGGATAGTATTAAATATATCTAAAATAATTACGATATGCAGATGTGAACTGGATTTATCTGGCTCAAGATACAGCCCAGTGGGAAGTTTCTAAACACGTTAATAATCTTAGGGTTCTCAAAACAGAAGGGAATTAACTGATTGGATAAGCTGCTAGTATCTGTAAAAGAAGTCTAGCTCGTGGAATTAAACTTTTAGACAGAGAAAAATAATTAGAAATCACACGGCTTATTATCAGACTCTGAAAACAAAATGAGAGACAAAAAATGTTAACAGTTTTTCATAAACATAATCCATTAATGCGGGAGGTAACCTCTGATATAAACCTGGTGGGCTAGACGAGAACTTCTTTCCAGAAGAAATGTTCAACTGAAAAAATAACAGGGAACCCGTACCTGGAACAGCTTTATGAGAACTCTTTTTCTGTTCAGAGAATGAGTTGCGAGTGTCTGTGGAATATGCGATCCTTTCTTGGGAACAAACTGTTGAGTGCGTGGATATAAGTGCCATCTCTCCATGTTTGCACTTCATTTATACCTGAAAAAAACAAACTTCATGTCATAATGCATGGGACACCATGATTTTCCAGTGCATAGAGAAAAGCTGTGTTCATGTTTGCTTATTTCCAAGGCTTCCTTGATCCCATTTAAAACTGTCACATTTACTTTGTTTTGGAAAAGCCTCTAATCCAATACAATAATGAATATTCGGACAAAAGTCCAAGAATTTAACAAGTAGTCAAGACGAAATCTGCCCCACGGTGTCATCCATAGAAAACAACATAATAAAAATAACAACAGTTTCATATATGTTTTAAAATAATCAATGTTTTATATATATAAAAAAAAGGTCCCCACTCTCGTTCTGTTCGCTTAATGTTCATGCAGTTGGAAATTAAATGCTACCCCTCAACCCACACACCCCCTGAAATGCATCGGCGCGAGACAATACCACGACGAAATCGACTCTCGATACACGAAACTGCACTTAACCATAAAAAAAAGTCACTGGTCCAACTTTTGACTCTCGCATCTTCCGTTAAGCAGGCTAACTGCTTCTAATGCGTTCCGAACGGAAAGAAAGGATTTTGAAACTATGTTCGCCCTGGAACCGAAATTTCAATGCAATGTCACTTAAGTAGTTGCTTATCTTCGCGCGCAGTTTATAATCTCAATCGATTAGAGAAGTTATTTAGAGTCAATCACACAACTCGAAGAGATTAAAACAACTCTGCCAACGCAAAGCGTGACAATTCCATAGGATTAGCCAGAATTCTCCGAGGTCGGGGTGCCTGACGCATATCTAGATGGGTAATGACGTCATTACGGAGGATCCCCCCCAAAGTGATTTCAAGCCTAATCATTTCCGCGCGCAGAAACTCATGCAGTGTAAGATGTTTCTGTTCGATTTAAACCAAACTTGGCACATGTCGACAAATTTCAGTAAAACTACAAAATATCAAATTTAATTGAAATACATACTGCAGTTATGGAGTTACATGTGTAGACGATAGACGGACAAAGAAACTGAGCTTTTAATAGGCACCCAGCAGGTTTGTGATTGCTCCTAAAATGTGTAAAACACCTGGAAAACTGATATTCCCGAAATGCGTTATTTTCTTAGATTCGTCATTCATAAGTGGGTTTGGTGCACACTTAGGGAATTTCATTTCTAGCACAGTGACTCTTAGTTTCGAAAGTATATTCCGTGTTGCTACTTCTTTCAGGGGTAACCAATATAGCACAGAACAATGTACTATCCTCCTTCATTTCGTTAAATACAGTCTGTGCAAGAAAGGAAGATCAGATTTCGTGTTACCAAGACACTGAAGTCTGGATTTTGGTCTTATGGTTTATGACGGCATGCAGACTTTGTGGTTACAAGAAACTACATGGCTTCATGACATATGATATCAGAATACAGGTTAAAAAAATTCAAATTTTATTCACATGTTTATGAAATCGATTTATTTTTTGTGTTATGCACATCTCCTATATACGTCGAGCTGTGTTCAGAATATCGATAGAATTATATTTGATTCTACATCTGATATGCACCAAACACCTAATTATTTCCACAACACTCAGTTAAAGATACGAGATACTAAATTTAATTTAAATCCGTTCAGCAGTAGAAAGATAAAAAACGTGAACGGACGGACGGACAGACGTCCCGAAACATGAATTAATCCTTTGCACTTCGTGTTTAAGAACGAATAAACCTAACATGACTTTACAACTTTACGTATCACGTTAGCTAATCTCTTATATTTAAAGTTACATTTAATATCTCATGAATAAGAACGAATAACAACCAATTTGCGTGCGAAAGGTACTTCTAAACACCGTTCCCAGATCCCTTGAAGAGACAAGGCTCGTACATTTAAACAGCGGGTCCAGACAACTTAATATGATATTGGCAAAACGTGAAGGTATCATGGCTAAGTCACAGGGGCATCAAAGAGTCAAAGGGGTAATCCTATAACTTCGTAGCCAGAGGACCTACTTTGAGGATTTTCACCCTCGCAATTGAATTAACATCAAGAGCATATAGACAAAGAATACGAAGCCCGTATTGTTATCATGACGACCGCCCTGATAGTACTTTTCTGTGTATTATAAAACAGAACATTTAATTTGATGTAACTCAATCAAAAATAAAATTAATTCAATTTGCTTCCCAGAAATTCTGTATTTCCTTTAAACCTAGGGAAATGCAGTCAATACAATGCAAATGAATTTTCGGTCTTAACTCGTAACAAATTAATTAATTATTCGGTTTTGGTCCGTCTAATCACAATTCAAATTTAAAATTCACTCCAAAAACATTCACTCCAATATGTAAAAATGAGTCTGGAAGCAAACATCACCAAAAAAAAGTTGCATATCAGAAATTGTAATTAGGTTTTAAGTTTATAATTTTAACTTTTACACCTGAAGATGGTTTATATAGAAACCGAAACATGTTGTAAAAAGATGTTCCAAATGTAAATCGATTGTTCGATGAGGAACATCAAATGATATTTTAATTATCTTAATTGTAAATTTTAAATTTTCAAATTTGAATTGTGATTAGACGGACCAAAACCGAATAATTAATTAATATATGGTTTCACAATATTACGCAACTATATCATCATCGTAACAAATTTTCAATACAAGACGACAATGACTGATGCTTGTAGCATATTATATTCATATATTTTAAATTTATCACGCCAACTAATTCGTTTCACACTTGCATGCATAATTTTTAAAGCTTTAAAGCCAATGGTAACTATATGTACCATAACAATCTATAACTATGATTTTTACCCAACACAACTTATTTTAGGTTCCATGTGATTCTCAAAGTAATTAGCGAGTATTTCCTTAAACAGAATTGAATAATATATTTCTTATTTCCGTCTATACACAAAACTTAGTTGTTAAAATTGGTGTTATTAAAGTTAAAAACTTAAAATTTGGCGCTCTTCATCGCAATTTTAACAACTAAGTTTTGTGTATAGACGGAAATAAGAAATATATTACTGAGTTAAACACAAACATGACGCAAATAAACAACAAAAAGAATTGAATAAGTTGATATTTGTAACACTAACGTGTTGTTTCGGAGGTACGGACTAAATCATTAATTAATATACGCAACTATATCATCATCGTAACAAATTTTCAATACAAGACGACAATGACTGATGCTTGTAGCATATTATATTCATATATTTTAAATTTATCACGCCAACTAATTCGTTTCACACTTGCATGCATAATTTTTAAAGCTTTAAAGCCAATGGTAACTATATGTACCATAACAATCTATAACTATGATTTTTACCCAACACAACTTATTTTAGGTTCCATGTGATTCTCAAAGTAATTAGCGAGTATTTCCTTAAACAGAATTGAATAATATATTTCTTATTTCCGTCTATACACAAAACTTAGTTGTTAAAATTGGTGTTATTAAAGTTAAAAACTTAAAATTTGGCGCTTAACAATCTATAACTATGATTTTTACCCAACACAACTTATTTTAGGTTCCATGTGATTCTCAAAGTAATTAGCGAGTATTTCCTTAAACAGAATTGAATAATATATTTCTTATTTCCGTCTATACACAAAACTTAGTTGTTAAAATTGGTGTTATTAAAGTTAAAAACTTAAAATTTGGCGCTCTTCATCGCAATTTTAACAACTAAGTTTTGTGTATAGACGGAAATAAGAAATATATTACTGAGTTAAACACAAACATGACGCAAATAAACAACAAAAAGAATTGAATAAGTTGATATTTGTAACACTAACGTGTTGTTTCGGAGGTACGGACTAAATCATTAATTAATATTTACATGAGCTTAAGTTTCATAGGGTTAAAACCCTGTGGTACTTATATATACCACCACCTTTAACAACGCTTAAGTAACGCTGTATATAGTATTTATGGGTTTTGTTGTCAGTATAAACAGCTGTTATTTCCTTAAACAGCGTTAAACATTTTCACTTTGTAATCGTGTAGTGTGGTGTTTTCTTCGCGGTACGGGCTGAATTCTTAAATATAATTTAGATGAGCATCGACTTTAAAGGATAAATCATTATAGATCGGAAATACAGGCACGCGAAATGAAAAATATTCAATAATTAAAATCTCTGTACATCAATCATTAAAGAACGCTGTCTGCTGCATCGATAGCACGAGCAATTATCTATTTATTATTATTCGACAGTTCAGTCATCCGGGAAGCTGTTTCTGTCACCACGTCAGCGTTCCAACTGATTGTGGTTCGCTTTCATCCGGGTCCATCAACAGATCCAAACGCTGCCAATATTTCAAAACACAATTTAGAAAATCCTTCATTGAATTCTGCTACTGAATAAAAACACATCCTACACGCCATAAAAATTCAATTTGAAAGTGAATTTTAGATAAGCACCGTTTAAGGAATAAAATGGACACTACACCCTGCACCAAAATACGTTGTTCAAAATCAGATTTAAAAAAAGAATTGGAAAGGTAGGCAGTTTGCGTTAGGCCATTTAATTTATATAAAGTTAACTCGGCGAGGCAACAGAGTTACGCAGATTGGAGGCTGATTAGTAACACATTTCTCTCACGTTGGATCTCGTACGAGACGAAGATGTTTTGTTATGAAGGAAGAGATTAGTTGAGACCGTCATTTGTCTCCTGTCCTCCAACTCGAACCGACGTGCTAAGACAACGTTCTTCGAAAAAGACACATCCTTAAAATAGGTAGATGTTTCAGCGTATGTTTATGATACATAAAAAGTAAACTTAAAAAGTTTCATTTTGTGCTGTGTTTAGAAACACGTTAAAATATATTATCTACAGTCTTAAACACGTTATAAATTATTAGTACAAACGATTCTTGTCATATTTACTACGGCTAGGACACGTTCGGAAGAAATATCGATATCATTTCGCAGATCTCGACAGGTTTTCGACAACTCTCTACAGATTTAGACTGGTTTAATTTGGTTCTCATCAATTGTATTCGACAGTTTACTACGCTTTATGCAAAT